TTCGTACTAGAAGTACATGTAGAAGTACAATGTATTCTAAAATGTGAAGAATACAACCCCAGGGGTACAAAATGATCCCAGGGCGTACGGAGAGTTAAGGTGGTGTCACTGTCTCAAAATGAGCAGTTATAATGGGGCTATGTTATTGTAAATAATTTATTGTACAATGTAGTGATTGTTTATTGCACCCAACAGGAAGTATTTCATATACGGCCCAAATAAACAAATCCTGTTTGTCACTGGGTCAAGAATTTCTGGAGAAAATAAAATTGTTTGGTAACTGGCCTGTAAAAGTAGGCCTACGTTAGGCAAAGTTATAAGCGCATTGTCAAATTAATAAATGGAAGTAGAAGAATGTTGGTTGTTTGCTGGACCACAGAATTCTGCACCGTTTTACGGCACTTGCAATATAATATCTATAAGTGCCACAGATTAGAGGTGTTACAAGAGAGTAACAAACATAAAAAAGGAAGGGAGATAGGAACGATAGATGTTTGAAAGGAAATAAGGAGAAAAACCACACCAGAGCACCCGCCAACCACCCATGAGGAGAGATAAGACCGATAGACGCTTGATAGGAAAGAAGGAGCAAACCACACCAGAGTACCCGCCAGTCACCACTACACACACACAAACATGAAGCTGTACCCGTCGTTTTATGCAAGAAAAATTCTGAAATTATACAAACTGAGCCCAAAAATATGAAATTATGCGATTCTGTTAATTTAAACAAAGAATGATAAAGGAAAATAATCAGACATTATGCAAAAAATGATCAAATTTTGCTAAATTATGCATGGTGCATAAAACCACGGGGACAGATGAAGCACTGGTTGAACAAAGAGCCAAAAACTTGAGTCAACAGTGGCGATGTATACATGGTCTTAGTGTTTTGTTTAATCTGAAAAACTTGGCCAATGTACAACAAAGACAATAAAGTAGGGCTGGCTTCCCCCCGGGCCAGACACAGGACACGTGTGGAGGAACACAGGACACAGTTTGTTGAGCACACGCCTCCGCTACACACTACACACATCATACACACGCGCTTGCTTCTCTCTCTCCATGTACACACATCAAACATTTTCTCACTTCTCACATATCACATTCTCTCTCTCTTATTCACACTCACTCATCATCTCTTTCACTCACCCTTTCTCTCGCTCACACATCCCCACACACTGATCACCTCTTCCCCCATCTTCATTTTTGAGAGAGACCGGGTTAACTGAGAACTATAGACAGAAAAAAAAAAAAAAACTTGATGAAGGCTCAAAAAGAAGCTTCAGTCAGATTCCGACTGGAAGAGGAAGTCATCCGAGGGTCTACAGTCCAGACCACAAATACTTCCAAACTTCCATCTGTGATTCAAGATCTTGAGCCAAATGAAAAATGATGGCCCCAACATATCGGTATTATCAAACCATAGTGGGGGAACAATTGGGCACAAGGGAGGTGGAGATGAAGGGGGAGGGGAAGAGGCATTCAAAAATGACACTCAATCTACTGCCAAGATTCAACAACACTGACACACACGCACATGTACACTCACACACACACGCACATGCACACTCACAGCAGGCAAGCTTCTCCTCACTTCTCTCACACACACACACACACACACACACGCTTCTGGTAAAAAAATTGCAGAGAACAGGAACAACAGGGAAACACAAACGAACACGAAAGCCCCGCCGAGTGGGCAAAGAAATGAGCAGCAACAACAACAACGACGACGACGACGACAATCTGTCAAACAACTCGGGACGTTCGAAAACAGCACATGGAAGACGAAGAGCACGACAACAGCCCGATAAAATGAGGGACGAGAAAGAAGAAGAAGGAGGAGGAGGAGGAGAAGAAGAAGAGAAGGCGAAAACAGAAACGAGAGACAAAAAGTGTTGGGAGTAGAGTGTGTGTCCCCGAGGAATAGCCCGCTAGCCCAGCGCGCCCCGGCGCAGGAACCAACGGTGCGGCCAGCCAGTGCACACAGATAGAGACCAGATAAAGACGAGCATCATTTCTTTAATACAAGGCAAAGATACAAAATGGAAATGGTACCACTTGAATAGTCACTGTCTCAAAAACATATAATAATAAAAAAAAGTTAACATTCTATTGGTTTTTTACGTTTTTTCATAGATTTTTTTTTTTCAGACTAAATGGTACAAATACAGGCTATCACGTTAATGACAAAGGATTATAATTACACATGGTGTATGCTTCGGAGAAAAAAAAAAAAAAAAAGGAAAAAAATAAAATCAAGGTTAGACACCTCCAGTAATGAATCAAATTTACTTCCAATAAATGAGAATATGGTAGAGCAAACAATAAAACGTATACTTGCTTTGCTTTGGGATACAAGTGCTTCCCTCCCCTCCCACCCCCCCTTTTCCTTGCTCCCTGTAGGAACAATATTATCTGACCCACCCACACATGTCAATGCTGCAATGCTGTGTTGGCAACAACAAAACCAAAAAAAAAAGCGTCCAAAAATCCAGACGTACACACACACACACACAGACACATGCACATACACACAATCAACACAGCCAGAAGTGAATGTTGTGCTTAACCCTACAAGCGTCGTCGCCAACAAATAGCACATGTGGTGTCAGGAGAAATTCTACGATTTCACCATGTTCTGTGGAAAAATGCTTGAGAACTGGCGAACCGAGCACGTCAAAGCCCATCAGCCTACACATTTTCAGAAAGTAAAATGTAAATAGGAAGTAGAGCTTATTCGTTACGAGGGAGATGAAAATGTTTGGCAATAGAAAAAATGGAATAAACAAAGTGAAATAGCGACTCAAATGACCTCCGTGACACCACACACATAAGGGAACTCGCACTAGGGGGCACATTGAATCGGCAGTCGACGCTTGAAGGGTTAAAACGATCCCCGTAGCTCTAGTGTTCTGTCAGAGTCCGTCTGTCTGTCTGTCTGTTTGTCTCCACTAGGGTGAGGCAGGCAGCGCGTCATCGTCCCAGCAGGCTGTTGAGCGCGTCTCTGTCGTGGAATAAAGTACACAGGTACACGTGCTCCACAGCCCGCTACCTACCACGACACGACGCGTGTGCAAAGAGGGGGCAAAAACAAAAAAATTATAACCTAAAAATACATTATTATAATAATAAAACAGCACGAAAATCTTAACAGCTGGTTCAGTCACGGACACTTCTCAAGGAATGGCGGCTAGGTGGGGGTGTAATGGCGGCTGCTTGTCAGGGTGTGGGTGGGGGGTGTACATCTCTAAATAGACACACAGGAGAAACTGGGAACCACACAATTACATAGTTCATGTGCCATGTATGTATCAGGGGAGGGGTTGGGAAAGTCCTAGAGGTCTGAAGGTGTTAGCTGGGTGGCCAGTGACAGTGACGTCACTCACCCTCCTCCTGCCACCCCTGCCCCGCTGATCTGCCTCCACTTGCCACGCACTCCCTCACCCCCTGTGCCAACAACAAGCACCATAGGGCGGTTGCCAAAGACTTTTTAGTAAGAGTTTTACGGCACTTGCAACACCACAGTAGGGTCATATAAATGCCGACCACTAGAGGGGTTACAAGAGAGTAATTGCCATGAACTCCCCGCGAAATTCAAGAAGATTTCAAGGAGAAATTTTTAAAATTCAACCAGATTTGGTCAAGAAATTCATGCCGTTTTCGATAGCCCACTTGCTTCCCCGAAAGCCTATTCCCGATAGGCCTAAACTTGTCCGAAAGGAATCGTAGTTTTCGATTGTCCGACAAATATTTTGTTCATGTCCGATCCGGCTAAATTCAAAGAGTTTTCAAGGAGGTTTCTCAAATTCAAGGAGGTTTCTCAAATTCAAGGAGGTTTCTCAAATTCAAGTTTTTAAGGACTTCTTGAATTCAAGGAGGCCGCAGGAACCCTGCCAATGGCTTCCAGGTTTACAACCTACAGACCAGCATCTGGCGGGCAAAGAGAAGGATAAGGGGGGTGGGGGGAGGAGATGTGGCCACTCAACCAGCTCCTTCCCAGCGTGTTTACTACGACACCGTCACACACTACTGTCTGGTGTCTACCTGGCAGCAGAACGGGGAAGAGGAGGAGACGGGGAGGGGGGGTAAGTAGTAGTACTTGGGCAGTCTACTTTCTCGTATATGTCTACTGCCCGAACAAAGCTGTATCATTGTCATCATACACGGTATACCGCTGGAGCTTTTAAGATCGTCTGTCAAGACTCAAAAAGGCCATTTCCACACAGACAGACTCACATATATACATACATACATACCAACACTGTGACAGACTTTTGGCTGTCAGTTCATACGTTCTCACAGCACAAAAAAGATTCCCCCGTGGGGTGGGTCTGTGTGTACGTGCATGTGCTCCGGTGTGTGTATGTGCGTGTGTGTGTGCACGCGACACGGATAGAAAAAAGTATCTGAACAAACCATACATACAAGTGTGCACTGCCAGTGGGGTCCGCTATAGGTACAAGGGTTCAAGTATACACTTCTGTGCAGCACATGTGGGGGAGACACGCTGTGAGCATGTCTACCTCTGTGTGTGTGTGAGTGTGTGTGTGTGTGTGTGTGTGTGTGTGAGTGTGTGTGTAAACATATATGTGTCGAAAGGGTGTCACCTAAGTCTAGCTACATTTCCGGAACTTATTGCATTGTATACAAAAATACTTGAACATTATTATGACAATCACATCCGCCAAGCAAGGACATCAACTGTCATGCACATGGAAAAAAAAAACACCCAAAAAAACTTCTCAGCTAATATTCCCCCACAGCTCCGGAAACATTTGGAAAAAGTAACACCCATATAACACAACGAATTTCTGTGTGTGTGCGTGTGTGAACGTGTGTGTGTGTGTGTCTATATGCGTGAGAGTGCATGCACACACGCGCTAGTGAGCGCAAAGGTCAATATGTGCATGCATGTTTCAGTGTGTTAGCGCGTTGTGTGTGAAATGATCCATCATACCAAAGGTATGTGGGAGGTGAAAGCATGCTGTGTTTCCGTGTGAATGAGTGTGTCAGCGCGTGTACGAGAGTGTGTGTGTATATGTTTATGACAACCACCCATCATAACAAGGGAGCGTGGGAGGTGAAGGGGTGTTGTGTGCGGTGTGTGTGTGTGTGTGAGTGTGTCAGCGCGTGTACGAGAGTGTGTGTGTATATGTTTATGACAACGACCCATCATAACAAGGGAGCGTGGGAGGTGAAGGAGTTTGTGGAGGAGCTGCCGCTGAGGCTGAGCATGCTGCCGCGGATGCTGATGTCGTCCTCCGCCAGCTCCAGCGAGGCCTGGCCCACCTCGGCGGCCTTGAGCCCCATGGCCGTGGTCTCGATGTCAAATGTCTCCATCTCCCGCGACTGGCGCTCCTGGAGGTGGCTGCGCTTCTCCGACTCCTCCTTGTCGAAGGTCATCCTCTGGTTCTCCATCTGTGACAAGGATATGTTTGCTTTAACAAGGCTTTACGGTGATGGCAACTGCATAAGCTCATTAAAGTGCCAAGGGGTGGATGTCAACAAAAAAGTCTACACGGGGAATCAGGTTTACTCTGCTCACCTCTTTTAGTTATAGTAAGGGTTTTACGGCACTTGCAACACAATAACACTTGCACAGCCAGTCTTATGGACACAATCTCCTCTAGAATCTCTACACAACAGCAACAACTACAATTAAGACCACCACCACCCACCTGCTTGTTTTGTTTTAGTAGAGGTTTTACAGCGCTCGCAACTGCATAAGGTCATATTATTATGAGCGCCAAGGGGTGGATGTCAACAGAGAAGTCCTTACAGGGAATCACACTTACTCTGCTCACCTCTCTAGACTCAACAGCACGAAGTCTGCTTCGACTATCAAGGCACCACGGAAATAGCAGTTCAGGAGAGAGTGACAAACATACAAAAGAAGTAGAGGGAAAATGACCATGGTAAGGATGAGGAAAGACTAAGAACCCACCTGTTCCTCCAGCACGGCCCGTCGTATGGACACCCTCTCCTCTAGAATCTAACAACAACCACCACCACCCACCTGTTGCTCCAGCACGGCCCGTCGTATGGACACCCTCTCCTCTAGAATCTAACAACAACCACCACCACCACCACCCACCTGTTCCTCCAGCACGGCCCGTCGTATGGACACCCTCTTCTCTAGAATCTAACAACAACCACCACCACCACCACCAGCACCCACCTGTTCCTCCAACACGGCCCGTCGTATGGACACCCTCTCCTCTAGAATCTAACAACAACCACAACAACAACCACCACCACCCACCTGTTCCTCCAGCACGGCCCGTCGTATGGACACTCTCTCCTCCAGGATCTCCCTCTCCCTCTGGTGCTGAGCCTCGGCGTGCATCTTAATCTTGCTCTGATATGCAATGAGCAGCTCCAGCTCCTGTTGTAGTCTCCCTCTCAGCTCGTTCGCGTCCGCCATCTGGGTCTCGTCCAGACGAACCTGGGGACAGGTCGCACACACGCACATTTTTAAAATCTGGATTTTGTGGAAGTTTGGTTTCGTTGGTTTGTTTGTTTGAGTAAAGATGAACAAACACCAACTTACATAGGGGGAACCAAAAAAAACAAATGCTTACAATTACATGTTCTCCTAATCAAAACAACAGGGTACAACAGCCTCCTTTGGTTTTAGTAAGTGTTTCACGGCACTTGCAACACAATAAGGTCATATGAGTGCCGAAGATTAGAGGTGTTACAAGAGAGTAACAAACAAAAAAAAGAAGTAGGGGAGATAAGGACGATAGATGTTTGATAGGAAAGAAGGAGCAAACCACACCAGAGCACCCGCCAACCACCCACAAGTTTGGTTTTGATGGTTTGTTTAAGTAAAGAAAAGGGAAGCACATTGACGCATTTAGCTTTAGAAAGTGTTTTACGGCAATTGCAACACAATAAGGTCATATAAGTGCCGAAGATTAGAGGTGTTACAAAGGAGTAACAGCATAAAAAAGGAGGGGAGATATAGACGATAGATTTTGATAGGAAAGAAAGAGCAAACCCCACCAGAGCACCCTCCAACCACCTACACATACACATAAAAGTTTTCATTCAGAGCTGGGAAAAGGTAAAACCGACAGACAGAATAAGAAAAGGTAAGTTTAGTTTTAGTTAAAGAGTTTTTACAGTGTTGGCCACTGCATATGGTCATACGAGCGCTAAACGGGTGGATGTCAACAGAGAAGTTCAAACGGGGGAATCTGGGTAACTCTGCTCACCTCTCTAGCCTCAACAGCACAAAGTCTGTTTCGACTATCAAGGCACCCCAGAAATAGCAGTTCACAAGAGAGTGACAAACATACAAAAGAAGTGGAGGGAAAAATGACGATAGTAAGGATGAGGAAAGAAAAAGCAGCAGGCAGTTCCCCCTATGTTGTTCCGGCACAGTATGAGCATGACATTGATAAATCATTTACAATTCTACTGTGCATAAGAACATGTTAATATCTCCCCTTTGGTAAAGGCCGAAAGAGGGGGGGGGGCGGCTACATTCTAAAAAAATATTTTAAAACCCCCAAAGACATTTATTTAGTTTCAGCAGAGGTTTTACTGCGCTCGTAACTGCATAAGGTATATGAGCGCCAGAAGAAAAGAGGTGTTACAAGAGAGTAGCAAACACAAAAAAGAAGGAAGGGAGATAAGGACGACAGATGTTTGATAGGAAAGAAGAAGCAAACCACACCAGAGCACCCACCAACCACCCACTGTTTTGTTTGAGTAAAGAGAAGCACATGTCCACCCACTAAGTAATTATCGATCCAGTGTTGTTGTTGTTGTTGTTATCGATCCAGCCACCCACTAAGAAAATGTTAATATCCCCCTTTTGGGAAAGGCCTAAAGAAGGGGGGTAAGGCCTACATTTAAAAAACCCAAACTAAACACAACAAAAACAAAAAGCCCAAAGACATGAGAAGCGAAGACAAGCGAAGACAAATGAAGAGAAGCAAAGAGAAGCAAAGAAAAGCGAAGAGAAGCAAAGAGATGCAAGCAGGTCCAATAACCGGCACACTCACGTTCTGTTGCTGCAGCATCTCGGCAATACTAGCTTCGTACTGGTCTCCTAGAGAGGAGAGCTTCCGCACCTGCTCGTCCTTGAGCTTCTTCACCACCGCCTTCTGCTCGTTCTTTGGCGTGTTCTGCAAGATTTGGTCTTTCAGCGCCTTGTACTGCCGCTGCTGGGTCTTCACCGCCTCGTTAAACTGTTTGCGGATCTGTATCTCCTTCGCCTGGAGGGAGGGGGAGGGGGGAACAAGCAACAGATTTTTGTTTGGTTTTTGTTTTTTAGTTTTAGTCAAGAGTTTGACGGCACTTGCAACACAATAATAAGGTCATATAAGAGCTGAAGATCAAAGGTGTTACAAGAGAGAAACAAACACAAAAAAAGGAGAGATCAGGACGATAGATGTTTGATAGGAAAGAAGGAGCAAACCACACCAGAGCACCCACCAACCACCCACGGTTTTTGTTTGAGTAAAGAGAAGCACTATTGTCCTTTAAAAACACATTTATGGGTGGATTTTACTGGAAAAACGTTAAAGAAATGCACAAAAATTTAAAAATTGCAGTTTCCATAGCCATTAAAGCTTTGGAATTCAAACTCGGGCGGCCAGTTTTTCGCTATTTTTACCTCTCGACACCCACCCCTTACAATAAAAAATATCTAGACTTTTATTCAAGAAGTGGAATCGAGCACTGGCCAACTTTTCGTCATGTGGAGCTACTGGTATTATATTAAAGCTTGTTCAATTGTCTTGCTTTTGATGAAAAATAATGCCCATCTGACTTCTATTCAAGATAGATGGGCATCATTGTTCATCAAAAGCAAGACAATTGAACAAGCTTTAATATAATACCAGTAGCTCCACATGACGAAAAGTTGGCCAGTGCTCGATTCCACAGACTGTTGAGTGTCTCACTCTAACCGCGCGTCCGCCATATTAGGTTCGACATTCTCCCCCCCCCAACTCAAATTATGTTATTCACAACTGTAATTACAATTTGATACTATAATCCGTTAAAAATAACTCTTCATAAAATTTTGAGCCAATATGGAAGATATTTAAAAATTATAATTTTTAAACTGAAAAAAAAAAAAAAGTTTGACCTAATTTGGCAGATCCACATTTTGGAGTGCCACACATGCACACTCTCACACACACATTCTCCCACACAAAATTAGTGACAGAAGACACAAGGACGACAACAACACAACAGCAGAGCTGTGCGCAGAGACTGACCCGTAAGCTGCGTGGCTGCTGTTTCACCTCCATGGCGTGTTTCTTGCGCAGATCCTGTTCGGCGCACTGGTTGTAGTCCTTCTGGTTTTCCCGCTCCGTCTCGTGCTGCTTCTTCAGCTGCTCGTCCTTCATCCTCTGCACGCACGCGCCGGGGGGAGAAAAAACAACAACATTGGTGAGGTGTGCTGACAAAATTAGTTAGTTTGTTTGTTTGTTTTGTAAAGTGCTTTACGGCGCTCGCAACTGCATAGTTCATATGAGCGCGCGGGACACACCTAATATTTTCAGTTGGTAGGAAATTTTGAATTTTGCCCGGGTGGCGGCCGAAGCCTACTCTTATCGATTTTAGACCATCAAGGGATCTTTAACGTGCGCAACTTGCACACGGGCCCTCCGAGATTTTTCGCCCTTGTCCGAGAAGGCTAGGTGTAGATCTTTCCTACCAGAAGATCAGGAATGTGGCAGAAAGACAGCAGTAAGGAGGAGCCAAGGAGTAGCAGTAGAAAGGCTGCAGAAAGAGTCAGGAGCCCAGAGGAGGGGGCAAAGGAGGTGAAGGGGTGGGGGCAAAAAGTGGAATTGAAAGCAGACAACAGAACATTGCTAAAGAGCAGGAAAGGAGGTGAAAGGAGACAATTTTAGAGAAGAAAATTTTTTGGTAGCTACCCGGATTCGAACCCGGGACCTTTCAATGAGAGGCCAACACCTTAACCTCCAGGCCACGAAAGCCCCCATCTACGATTTTAGCTTTTTGGAAATACAGACTTGTTCCCTTGTTTATTTATTCATTCATTCATAGCTCACCTGCAGGGTAGCCAGAGGCTTTCCTGCGTGGACTCACTTATTTATTTATTCATTCATTCCTTCCTTCCTTCATTCATTGCTCACCCGTAGGGTCGTGAGGTGCTTGTACTCCAACTCCTGCGTGAACTCATTTATTTATTTATTCATTCATTTATTCCTTCCTTCATTCATTGCTCACCCGTAGGGTTGCAAGGTGCTTGTACTCATACTCCTGCGTGGACTCATTTATTTATTTATTCATTCATTTATTCCTTCCTTCATTCATTGCTCACCCGTAGGGTCGTGAGGTGCTTGTACTCCAACTCCTGCGTGAACTCATTTATTTATTTATTCATTCATTTATTCCTTCCTTCATTCATTGCTCACCTGTAGGGTCGCGAGGTGCTTGTACTCATACTCCTGCGTGGACTCATCGGTTTGTATATTTATTCATTCACTCATTCATTTATTGATTCATTCATTCCTTCATTCCATCCTTCATTCACTACTTCAGCGCTCATCTGCAGGGTAGCCAGATGCTTGTACTATGAACTCCTCCATGGACTTATTTGTTTATTCATTCATTCATTCGTTCATTCATATATTCATTCATTGACTACTTCAGTGCTCACCTGCAGGGTGGCCAGATGCTTGTACTCTAACTCCTGCGTGGACTCGTGGTGCCGGAGCAGCATGCTGTGCTCGTACTCCAAGTGTGCTCGACGCTGGCCGATTTCCTGCGGGGGTGCACAAGAGGGGGGGTTAAGTTAACTTGGACATGTGTCTTTGTACAGAGTTTTTTTAGTTTTAGAAAGTTTTCCAGCACTTGCAACACAATAAGGTCATACAAGTGTCGAAGATGAGAGGTGACACAAGAGAGTAACAAACACAAAAAAGAAGGGGAGATAAGGATGATAGGTGTTTGGATAGGAAAGAAGGAGCAAACCACACCAGAGCACCCGCTAACCACCCATTTTTTCACCTAGATTTTCTCTAGTTTGATTTCTCCCCCTACAAATCTTTCCATTGCTGGCAATGTTGAAAAGCCATTGCTAGTCACTATAATTTATAATTCAACTATAGTGTCACAATAAAAAAACACCACTTCAAATCATTCTTCATTTCAGTAGCATTTCTTTCACCACGGCCTCTATCACGCTCCCATAGCCGTAGAATCATCGCACTGACAGGCTCTCTAAATCTAGACAAATCTGCAAAAACAGTTTCTTTCTGACCGTGATTCTCTGTCTTAAAATCACAAGTCAATTTACTTGAACAACCCAAAGATGTTCCAGCCGTGGCAATAATCCAAAGATAGACAGAAAGAATGAGTGAATGAAAGAAAGAAGGGCATTGACACAAAAAGTACACTCTCGTGGCTTGCCAGATTTTGATCAATTCGCAGTTAAAAAATGTATTACCAACCAACCTGCAATGAATGCATAGCGGGACAATGGCCAATTGTAAGATAGGAGCAATCTGGACATTAGTGATGGGTCTTGAGACAAGAATGGACATGGAAGATGAGTGGGTGTTGTGGCAGAAGATGAGTGGGTGTTGTGGGATAAAAACGGGTCTTTTGTAAGAAGACGAGTGGGTGTTGTGGCAGAAGATGGGTGGGTGTTGTGGGAGAAAAACGGGTCTTTTGTAAGAAGACGAGTGGGTGTTGTGGCAGAAGATGGGTGGGTGTTGTGGGAGAAAAACGGGTCTTTTGTAAGAAGACGAGTGGGTGTTGTGGCAGAAGATGGGTGGGTGTTGTGGGAGAAAAACGGGTCTTTTGTAAGAAGACGAGTGGGTGTTGTGGCAGAAGATGGGTGGGTGTTGAGGAATAAAAACAGGTCTTGTGTCAGAAGATGAGTGGGTGTTGTGTCAGAAGATGGGTGGGTCTTGTGTCAGAAGATGAGTGGGTGTTGTGTCAGAAGATGGATGGGTCTTGTGTCAGAAAATGAGTGGGTGTTGTGGCAGAAGATGAGGGGGTGTTGTGGAATAAAAACGGGTCTTGTGGCGGAAGATGAGCGGGTCTTGTGGCAGAAGATGAGTGGGTCTTGTGTCAGAAAATGAGTGGGTGTTGTGGCAGAAAACTGCACCCACCTCCTGTAAGAGCCTCTGCTCCAGCCGATGATACTGCAAAATTTTCCTCCGTTTGAAAGCCCTAAGGGTGAACTCGAGAGTGTCTTTTTGATGTTTCTCCAGGCGGAACTCCGCGTCGCGTTTCTTGCGCGTCAGCGTGTCCTTGAACGAGCGCATGGCGTCCTCGCGTTCTTTCTTCGGAGTACTCGTCTCTAGGCCCTGTGAGGAAAATGACAAAAGAAAAATAATAATAATAATAATAATTGTAAAAATAAATAGCATTTGTATGGCCAAAATTCCAACTCGGCAGCAAGCTCTTTATAATCTATATTATTACCCCCATCCGACCTGATGGAAACCTGAAACAATCTGAACTTCCTGGGAAGTATACAGTGCAAGCTGCCCTTTTAAAATATTTTTTTATAGGCACTAGAACTCGGGGGGGAGGGGGGGGGGGGGCAAGCCATAGATGAAAATAAAATGACATTCGAAAGGAAAAGCAAACAAAGAGAAAAAAACCAACCCCTTACCTTTTTCATCTTCTCTTTGTCAGACTTGTAGTTTTTCTTCATCTGCTCTATCAAGCTCTTGCGTTCTGTGTCGTGATTCTGCTGCGTGTCTCGCACAAACTTCCTCTCCTGGGCCTGGGCTCCCTTGGTCTGAGAAAAAACAAACGACAACCCCGGTAGATTAGTTTTCGTTTTAGTAAGAGTTTTACGGCACTTGCAACACAATAAGGTCATATAAATGCCGAAGATTAGAGAGGTTTTTTTTAGTAAGAGTTTTACGGGACTTGCAACACAATAAGGTCATATAAGTGCCGAAGATTAGAGGTGTTACAAGAGAGTAACATACACAAAAAAGAAGGAGAGGAGATAAAGACGATAGATGTTGGATAGGAAAGACGAAGCAAACCACATCAGAACCCCCGCCAACCACCCACTAAACAGACAGACAAACAGACAAAAAAACAAACAAACAAACAGACAAACTGGCCAGCCAGCCACTCACCTGTTTCTCCAGCTCCACCACATGCTGCACTCGCAGTTTCTCCAACTCGCGGACAAACCGCTGTCGCAGACTCTCGTACTCGCGGTCCAGCTTCTGCTTGTGCTCGTCCATTTCCGACTTGAATCTCGTTTCGATCTGAGAACAAAAAGCGGGTCAAAAGACACTCCAACCAGCCCCCCCCCCGTAAGAGTATTACGGCACTTGCAACACAATAAGGTCATATAAAAGCCAAAGAATAGATGTGTTACAAGAGAGTAACATATGCAAACAAGGAGGAGAAATAAGGACGATAGATGTCTGTTAGGAAAGAAGGAGCAAACCACACCAGAGCACCCGCCAACCATCCACAGAGAGAGAGAGAGAGAGAGAGAGAGAGAGAGACACACACAGACACTTAGAGACAGAGAGAGAGACACACAGAGAAAGAGACACACACAGACACAGACACAGAGAAAGAGACACACACAGACACTTAGAGACACAGAGAGAAAGAGACACACACAGACACTTAGAGACACAGAGAGAAAGAGACACACACAGACACTTAGAGACACACACAAAGAGACACACACAGACACTTAGAGACACACACAAAGAGACACTAACTAACAGTCTGTAACTCCTTCTGGTGCGTGCGGCGCAGCCTCTTGTAGACAGTGAAGTTGTGAGACACACAAAGAGAGAGACAGACACAGAGAGAGAGAGAGAGAGAGAGAGAGAGAGAGACACACACACACACACAGACTAACTAACCGTCTGCAGCTCCTTCTGGTGCGCGCGGCGCAGCCTCTTGTAGACGGTGAAGTTGCGGTAGTCGTTGCTGCGCTCATGCTGTTTGATCTCCTTGCGCACGATGGAGGTGGTGCGGATGGTGGCGAAGTTGTTGGCCGCCGCGTCGAACCCTCGGGGGCTGCCTCCGGACGCCTGGCCCAGCGAGGGGGACAAACAGACAGACAGCATTGAGTATACAACTCTACAAGTCTCCCCCCACCCCCCATGTCTTTTTCCGTCTTACTATTTATCACAGCAAGGGACAGACAGGCAGAACAGGCAGACGGTAATGAGTACACAGCTCAACAAATCTCCCCCAGCTCCCCCCCCCCCCCTTCGTTTCTGTCTCACAATTGATCAAAGCAAGGAACAGACAGGCAGACAGCATTGAGAACATGAGAACAGATATGACCCAGTCCTTGCACCCTTACCAAACAACCTCCTTCCCACTGCATGGTAAGTCATGGAAGGGGTATCCATTTAACTGTTTTAGTTAGAGTGTACTTGCAACACAATAAGGTCATACAAGTGCCAAAGACTAGAGGTGTTACAAGAGAGAAACAAACACAACAAAGAAGAAGGGGAGGATTTTTTTAATAAGAAAGAAGGAGCAAACCACACCCGAGCACCCGCCAACCACCCACAGACGCCCCATGAACAATTTGACAGTCAGTCCCCGCCATAGAGAGCCAAAAACGACGTCCCAGAGGAGGTCTCGCTGGACAAAACCTGTCCTGACACAGTTCCTACATCATCACATAAACCGACAAAAATTACATTTACAACAGTTTTACCATAGTCTGAGTGAGAGTTCTACAGTACTTACAACTCAATTAAGACATGTAAGTGCCAAATATTAGAGCAGAGGTGTTACTACAGAGTAACATACAAAGAAAAGAAGGAGAGATAAGGACGATAGACGTTTGATGAGAAAAAGAAGAAGCAAACCACACCAGAGCTCCCGACAACAAAAAGGACAAATTTAAGTTCCAGGGTCAATATTTTCAGTTAAACCCTCACAAAATATGACAATGATTGAAGATTGCAGCAGCAGCACCATCATCAAAAAGAAATACTGACAAGCATTTTTTTGGAACATTATGATGCAGGTACGCCACTGGGATATTGTGAAAATACCTGAAAATTTACGAAGTTGTATTAACAGACACAATCAATATAGGGTTAAACAAAAAACAAAATGCTTAGAATACTAGCTCTGTCGTTTTCAATGAAAATAACCGAAACAACAGGGGTGAAAAAAGGCATCCCTGCACTATGAATTTTTTTAAAACCACGACAACAAATTGGTAGGTCTATTCCCAATTTTTAAAAACATGACAACAAACTGGTAAGTCTATCCCCAACAAGGAAACATAGATAACAAGTTCAAACAGTATGACTAGAGATCGCCAGAGAATAAATACCAAACATTATCATAAAACAATGATAACACCCACAATGAACTGCTTACTCATCTTTTTTTTTTCTTCTCCATTTATTTTATATTTCCTAATACATTAACAAATCAAACTCATAAAAATAAAATGCTGTAATCAGGTTTTAAATTATTTTTTTTCTTCCAATTATGAACTATCTGGAAGTAAAGAAAAATATCCATGGAAAAGTTGAGGTCAGCTGAAAATTGAAATTAAGTTATTTCTCATTGAAGACGACTCCCGGCTGTGATAGAGTATCTCAGAATCTGTCTACCATTATCTTATCTCACGTCTCTTACTAGATAACAATAACAGTGGGTCTCCCAAATCCCGTAATACAGATCATCATGTCAAAGGTCATAAGACAAGTAAGTACAATCATTTTGGCCTATTCACACACTTCAGATGGCCTATTCACACACTTCAGATTTCTACAATCAATGCCTGTACAGCATAATGTTCTTTCCCCGTGGAACTTTAAAAAAAAAATGCTATAAATAATCTTGACATTATACAAGGACATTCTTTTTAAAAATCAATGATTCAATGGTGCATCCTGATAACTATCATCTATTATGATACCATCTATTACAATGAAGCATGACGATAACAGAGTCGATAAGTTTTACACAGCTAGAGATCCCATATCCAGCACAAACGCACATACAAATAAGGCACAAACGTACATACAACTACCACTACAATGGCACAAGCACTTGCCATCTGCTAACTTCTCAGCCTAGCTACAACATGCACATATAGAATTAATATGGAGGTGTTTTTTACGCTACCATCAGCAAGATTTAGATACATCATTTAGGATCTGGGCCTGTGACACTGCCTGTCTGGGCTAACCCCAGCCGAGACGGACACAACACCCCGACACCAAGACGGATATTCTGTAAAACAAATTTCCCCATTCAGGAATCGAACTCAGGCCTGGCTGCAAGACCACAGACACTGGTCTTGAAAGTTCAATTTAGTTTTAGTTAGAGTTTTAAGGCACTTGCAACACAATAAGGCAATATGAGTGTCGAAGATTAGAGGCGTTACAAGGGAGTAACAAACACAAAAAAGGAGGAGAAATAAGGACAATAGATGTTTTATAGGAAAGAAAGAGCAAACCACATCAGGGCACCCGCCAACCACCCACAAACTAGGTTCACACAATCAGTCTGCCCTATGACATTTGCACAAAACTATAACCCAGAAGAAATAACGAGGATCGCTAAGACAGACTGCACTCTCAAAATAAAGACTAAGGAACACAATACAAATGAGAGCATCAGAGAGAGTACCGCGACATTTTGCCCCAAACTCCCCATTTAACTCCTTTTCTACCTTCCATTCAAACCAAATTAAGACTTTTCTAAAAAGAAACCGAAAAATGACGTGAACTTCAAACCATACCAGTTTATCTGGACCAAAACCAAAAGGTCCCAGAAACATCCAAACAAATCAAGCTTTTACAACATCAATGTCAGAGAGCAGAAGAAAAACAACATTTTAAAAACAACCCAACCCTTTCTAGACACTCCCTTCCCGGCTCTTTCCCACCATACTGTAATACGTTCAGCGGCGTATTATGACAGTGTATTAGGCACACTCTACTACTCTAACTCATACAAGGAAGAAATGCTGCTACAGACCCAGATAGAGATAGGAGATCAAAGAATTACGTCACAGATCAACAAATACAAGTGAGTGCCATGGCTTGCAAATACGCGTGTTCTACGTGGAAATATACGAGTCGTTTACATCTGTACTGGTCATCTCCATCTGTACTGGTGCAATCAAAGATGGTGTATAACAAGATAGTTCACTCCTCTCTCTCTCTGAGCCGATTAAAAAAGTGTCCTCAAAATTCGGTGGCATCCTCTTCGAAAAAGTGCAGACTTTGCGAACAGAGTTACCCTACTTGTGTGAAAAACAATTTAAGTGAAACGAACAAACTGTGCTATTCCAATCCTTCTTCTGGAGAAAAGAAAGACAGCTTCAAAACAAAGACTGCAGCGCCATCTGGACCATATGCGCGGACTTCCGTGGACACTTTTGTGGCCGAGTGAACTATCTTGCTATGTACGATCTTTGGTGCAATCGCTACTGTGATGGTAAAACTGGCAAACTTTTTTTTTACAAAGAGCTACAAAAATCACAGAGCACTACAACTATGATCTTTGTCCCTGAGCACTGTTATCAAACAGGCCTTGGGTTTGTGGACAATATCAGCTGAAGAATTTACACCCGCAATAAATGTTGAGTTGAATAAAGCACCGAAGCAGGAGTTTCCTCACTCAAACAAAATCTTCATGGGTGACAATTTCTAGAGAAAATTGAAACCCGCCACCCATAACACAACGTCGAGACCAGAATTTTAACTCACAGGAAAAAAACAACAACAAAAACAAAAAACAACAAATTTAAAAAAACCTGAGCTCCAAATGTGTACAAAGAAAGACTTCCAACAACACAACAGATTTCGAAGTGATAATTTGTCACGATCCCAACACATGCAGCACACTCTGTGACACCAAGGCTACGACACTAAACGCATGCTCACAACATCAAAAGAAGGAATGGGGGACGACACGAGCCACAACAGCAAGTCAAAAGTCACAAATACAAAACAAATCCTCAGAGAAAAAAAGAAAGAAAGTTTACCGAGAATACTGCAGTAAAGAAAACGACTCACCAAAATACAATAAATAATAAACCAAATGAACAGGATCAGAATAACCGCAGTGAGGAAAAGAGACGGACGCAACACTGTCCTCAGACGGGAACTTAAGGGTCTCTCTCTCCCTACACTCTGCCCAACCAGTGAATCGTCCTCACAGAACCAAATGTAAGAATAACGTGTGTGTGTGACAAGCTGTGCATGCAGTTACAGAATACAGAGTGGAAAAATCCCCGCCGGAAGCTACGATAAGATAGGACAGTGCCGATCAACTTCTACGATTCCCAAACTGTCCATCTATCTATCTGTCAGGATGCTTCTACAAGATGCAACAAGGAAACCAGGCATGGACACTTCCTACTTGAACAAAGGATCGAGTAGACATTTAGTAAATCTACTGAAATTTTGGAAAAACAGAACAATTAGAACTCCTTTCTAAGGTATCCTACAGTCATGGAAGATGGCTATTCAGTTACTGAAAGTCAGAAAGAGTCTGCACATTTACTTTCAAACTTAGAAACTTGAAAGGAGAGGTAAAAGAGACCAAAACATGACATTGCTGGTGTTATGTGCACAACATTGACGTTATTTACTAAAGATAACGGGCATCATTGAAGCTTGGCATGCCTTGTCTGCATACATTGCATAGAGAGAGGTTGGGGATATGGAGAACGAGAAGAGAAGAGCAGTGAGCGTATGAGGTTAAAAAAAAATTAGGTATGCAAAAAGAAAAGGGGTGCATCAAAAAAGGAAGGCGAGGAAATCATTCCCTGAAGCTACCTTGGAAGCCAGGTAAGGGCTGTAGGAAGCACTGCGACATGTGAAAGATGGCCACTCAAAGCCGCCGCCTCCACCCTTGCAAAGTGAGGCAGAAAATCATGGTCACGGAAACAGACAAGTCAGGTACGCTAGTTTTATCTTTACAACAGCGACATGGAAGAATTCAGGTACTGTAGTTTTATCTTTACAACAGCGACATGGAAGAATTCAGGTACTGTAGTTTTATCTTTACAACAGCAACATGGAAGAATATTCAAACATTTATGATCTTAGCTCTAGACCAGTATCCAACAATGCACTTTGGCCTCTATGATGAAATACTGGACTTACCTATAGACTAAAAAACTTTCTAAACAAACACGACTTGACCAAACAAGAAAAAAAGATGTACTCTTTCTTGCAACTTTTACGTTAAAAAAAAAAAAAAAGACATAACATTATCATCGACAAAACCACAGGTTATATTTAAAAACACTTGACAAAGGTTGTAGAATGGCTGAGATTATTTAAATGTCCATCAAGGCAGCTTTAAAAAAAAAACGTGGGCCTGCTTTGTCTCATCAACATTTACAGATTTTGTCCCACCACTGGAACTGCAGGATTGAAATGTCGGTGGTCAACGGGAGAAAGATCTATCTACACATTGGCTAAAACATGGACAAAATTAAATGATGGTGGTGGTGAACACAACATACAGACAGCAGTTGGGCCAGTTCATAGAAAATGACACATAACGCAGAGATGATGATGGCCTATTGAAAAAATATCCTACACGGTAAGAGAGCCATTCTTTACTCTTTTTTGGGGGGGTTTTTGCATAGCTGCCACTCAGAAATTTATAAAAAGGAGGAAATTCACGCGAAGGCGTACGCGTGCTCTCCGAAACCAGTGAGATCCAGAGGCAATATATACTGGAAAATCTAGCCTACGGTTTTGGAAGGGAAAGCTGTCATATTGTTAACCATAGGCAACTGAATTAAAATGTATTTGAAAAAAAAACAACAACAAAAAAACAACATAAGGCAGTAAGTTGACTAACAAGCATTCGAGTCAATTTGACACAGTTTGGACTTGGTGACTAAAAATCTAGTGTTTTTTGCCAGCTGGTGCCTCATAAAAAGATTTCTTTCACTTTAAACGTGTACATACATAGACGTAGAGCAGTATCGGATCAAGGATACACAACAGGCACTCCTGTACAATTGCGGTCCCGTTTGCACTTAGTGCCCCTGTAGTGTGTTTCTTATTTAGAGATAAACTGAATTAAAATTATAGACTAGGCTATCTAATCTAGATCTAGATATATCTAAATATGTGTAGATCTAGATTATATCTAGAGATAGATTTTCTAGATCTAGATCTAGATTCACTTCCGCAGCAGCCACAATAGCCGTCATGTAAACAAACGGGACCGCAATTGCACAGGCACAGGAGTGCCGCGGGCCGCGATTTCTTTCGCAAAAAACGGCTAGATCTAGATCTAGTTCAATTTTCTAATGAACTTTTCAAGTCGCACACCGGCTGCTTCTTTCTCATTCCAGTTCCTTTTATTTTTGCATTCTGAATCAATTTCTCTCGAATTTCCGCCAATTTCAATGACAACTCGGCGCGCTAACGTCCCGATGCCCGATCGACACTGTGTTGCTCCACAACAATAAACAATGTGAAACTAGCGCTGGGCCTAGAAGAACAGAAGTAGAAAGCTACGGCGGACATGCGCGAACCGCGTTTTCGTCTCTCTCCCGGTTCGGTGTTTTCCGCGTGGAAAAAAAAAAGTATGAAATTTGCGACCAAGAGCGGTCCAGCGGAGGAAGGAGGAAAGTTGAGGGAAACGCTAGATGTAGCGGAGTTTCCGCTATTTAGCGGGAAAGTGGCAGCTATGTTTTTGTTAGATGGTACCTTCCTCTAACTTTAAAAAAAAATTAAAAAGAAAGTAGAAAAAAAGAGGAAAAAGAAAAAAGGGATGGCTCTACCATAGATCAGATTTTTTTTCAGCAGGCATCCCTGCGTTATGCCTGTCTCTTTCCATGGAATGGCCCAGCAGTGCAACATGGAGTCAGCTCTCAGACACTGACAAGGCGACAGACCATGGATCGATGGATTGAGGGGGGGGGGTATGAATATTGAACTCTCCTCCTTTGCCCAAGAAACAGACGCTGCATCACTACGGCTCAGACGCCGGCCGGCCTTTGCGGGAGAGACAGCACAACAGCAACTGCCAGCTGTGCCGAGTAGCTGGGAATGCAGGCTTAGCGCAGCACGCTACACAGAAAGCTTGTGAGCTCCGTGTAGGGCAACAACACGCCACCTTTTTCTTCTAGCGTCCACCTCGCGCTATCTCCCGCTTGGATAAGTCACACGTAAGCTGCCCACCACCTGCAGCCTCACACCCAGCGCACACGGAAAATTAAATTCCTTTGACGGAGCTGGGGCCAGACAGATTTTTCTCCACAGAGGCGCAAAAGCTACAATCTTAGCACAGTTTGATCAATTCAACCAAATTCACTCATGACCTTCAAAATAAAACGCGTTTGTTTTTCAAAGCCACAAAGTTGAAGAATCGTTTGTTTTTTCAAGGTCAAGTTGTGCAAAATAGTTTAGTAGCTTTTTGCTCCTCAATAGAGGAAAATCTGGCCGGCCCCGACTCAATCCCGACTGAATTTGATTGTCAGAATGCACTAGGTGTTACACTAAAGCGTGTCAATTCTAAGCTGGACAAAGACAAAACGAGAGTAACACGAGTCTTTCCTAACAATCTGGCAGTAAAAGATCCACAAATTACTTCTGCACCTTATCATCGCTAGGGATCACAGCACAATTAAAATAAAATCTTCCGTTGAACAGCACTGGAATTAATTGCAATACTCTTCCTCTGCCTCTGCTAGACAGTTAAAACAACACTGCAGTAGAAAATGCTTCACCGCTCACAAATTAATGCAGATTTTTATGGTAATTTTTTAAACGTGAACCCTTGAAAAGAAAGACACCCAAACTGGAGACTGCGCCCCCCCCCCCCCGAGAACTGTGATCCCTGGCGTTTTTTGTGAGGCACACGAGAGAGGGGAAAAGGTTTCTGTTGACAGACGGGACAGATATAAGCAAGGACACACTATGAGACACAAGCACTCCACATTCCATGCAGTTTACCTGTAAATGTAATTGCACGGTGACAGGGGACTGATTGACAAGTGATATAATAGAAAAATTTGTTAATACATGCCGAGCCCAGGAGAGCCACAAGCTACTTGTTGTTGGGGACATGGTGATATTATCAACAAACAAAACAGAATATTATGAAATAATTGTTTCATTATCATTGGCGTTATGAAGAATATTTAGAGAACTGAAATAAAAGAAGCATTGTAAGCAATGGAAGGTGCATGGATTTTGCTGCTTGAGCATACATGTACAAGACTATTGACAGAAATTCCATTTCTGGCGCAAAATCTTACATTGTGCAAATTGAGGAGAAGCCATTCGCTCGCTCATTGAATTCTAACAAAACAGATTTAACTGTTTCATATAAGCTCCAAAAAGTAGCTTCAGATACTAGACATAGTTTCTTTAAAAACAACAACAAACAGAAGGAGCAAATACAAAGAGTACTTTGCAAAAGAATTTCTTCCCAGCTTCCACGGAAAACAAACCCACTGAGATTTGTCAACTACAAATTGTTTGTCCCTTCAGATGAAAGCAGAAGAGAAGTTAACAGCTGCAAGTAACGTTCGCCCAACTTATTCATAATTTGCAGAAGAGAATAATTCTTCAAGAACAATAGAAAAAAACAAACAATTAAAGATGTTTTGTGGCTTCTGCTACGCCCAACAAGAACAATTCTTGCAGAGGAGAATTTGCCACGTCACGTGGAACCTGGAGGAGAGTCGCAGAGATAATGGCTGTACAGAAATGTGGGAAGACATAGAGAATCATATCGAGAAGCTAACCCCGAGATAGGAAAAAGGTGGAAAGTGTTTGTGTAGGTGTTTTACAACACTATCGGCTCAGATTTGGTCCTGTCAGTGCCATTGTGTACCCCGTTGACTGAATGAGTAGGTGTTTTACGACACTATCAACTCAATTTTGGTCATGTAAGTGCCATTGTGTACCCTGTTGATCGATTGAGTATTTTACACCACTATCGACTCAATCTTGGTCATGTAAGTGCCACTGTGTACCCTCTTGACTGAGTAGGTGTTTTACGACACTATCAACTCAATTTTGGTCATGTAAGTGCCATTGTGTACCCTGTTGATCGATTGAGTATTTTACACCACTATCGACTCAATTTTGGTCATGTAAGTGCCACTGTGTACCCTCTTGACTGACTGAGTAGGTGTTTTATGACACTATTGACTCAAATTTGGTCATGTAAGTGTCGTTGTGTACCCTGCTGCAGGGCGAGAAAGGAAGGCAGCAGCGGTGAGGATGAAGAAAGAAGGCACTCACATGTCTGTCCCGCGCGAAGGAGAAGGGCTCGTCGCTGTGGCCCGCCATGTTGAGGCTGGTCACGCTGCTCTGGCTGCTGGGCTGGCTCGCTAGACTGTCAGACTTGCCGTCCGCGTTGTCGTCGTCCTGGAGGGAGTCAGATATTTTTATAATTTTTAATTTTTTGGTCCCGTGTCTGTGTCCTGATTTTGGTCCCCATATTTGTAGGTTACGTAAAAATGTACTGACATGGAGAAAATTGTTGTTTTCTAGAAAAACGAAACAAGAAAAAGGAGAATTGTATAGTCCGTGATGATGATGACGATGACGATGGTGCGAATTGTAAATAACGATAATAAATGTGTAATGACGTGGTGGAATCAGGCCCTCGTCAATTTTGGGGCAAATGGGGTTATTGGTATCATCATCATAAAGCTTGTTCATTTGTCTTGCTTTCTTTGAAAAAATGACACATCTATCTTGAACAGGAGTCGAGATATTTGCAATTGAAGCAGATGGTGTTGCTTGGGTTCAGAAGCAATATTAGTGAGAAAATGGTGGACAGAGTTTGGCGACTACCAAAGTGTGTGTGTGTGTGTGTGTGTGTGTGTGTGTGTGTGTGTGTGTGTGTGTGTGTGTGTGTGTGTGCCACGTTAAACCAAATTGCCCTTCTGGGATCAATCAAAATGTAACTTATTATTTACTTATTCATTTATTGGGTAAAACGCACATAAATAATTTTTAAAAACCCTGGTCAACAGTATGTTAAACAGCGGCGGTGGGTTGTGCGTGTGTGTGTGTGTGTGCGCGCGTGCATATGTATGTGAGCGTACGTGCGCGCGTGCGTGTGAGTAGATGTGCACCTACCTGAGAAGAGTTGTCGTCAGGAGGCACGTTGTCCAATGTATGTATGTGTGTGTGCGTGTGTACGTGTGTATATGTCTGTGTGTGTGTGTATGTATATGTGTGTGTGCGCGCGCGTGTAAGCGTGTACCTACCTGAGAAGAGATGTCGTCAGGAGCCACATTGTCCTATGTGTGTATACGTGTGTATATGTCTGTGTGTGTGTGTATGTATGCATATGTGTGTGTGTGCGCGCGTGCGTGTAAGCGTGTACCTACCTGAGAAGAGTTGTCGTCAGGAGCCACATCGTCAACCATAGAGGCCGGGTTGCCCTCCAGCAGGCTCTCCTCGTTGCCCCCATTGAGGATGAGCTTGTTGAGCCGGCGGAACTGCAGGTTGTCCAGCTGCTTCACCGCCGTCTTGGTGCGCTGGATCAGCTCCAGTATCACATCGTGGCGCCTCGTCTTCCGCACAAACGGGTGCTGCAGACACACACACGGGGAGGGAACGCGCATGTCACACACAAAATGTTCTACTGTTTTTGTTTTGGTAAAAGTTTTGCGGCACTTGCAAAACAATAAGGTCATACGAGCGCCAAAAGATTAGAGGTGTTACAAGAGAGTAACACATGAACAAGAAGAAGGGGAGATAAGGACGATAGATGTTTGATAGGAAAGAAGAAGCAAACCACACCAGAGCACCCGCCAACCACCCACACACAAGGAGGGAACATGCGTGTCACCAAAGATCCTGTATAACAAGACGGTGCACTCCTCTCTTTGAACCAATTAAAAAACTGTCTTCAAAATCCGGTGGCGCCCGCTTTGTGAACAGAGTTACCCTACTTGTGTAGAAAAAAAATCAAAGCAAAATTCACAAGTTTTTGTATAAATTATACACTCATTACAGCGACAAAGCACAGCTGATTAAAACCTGTCAATTCTTTGCCATATCGACAGACCGAAGGGCTAGAACCCAAATGGCCGCTGGATCGGAAAAGTAAAGTATAAATTATAATTTGCTTAGGATCTAGGGGTAGACTTCCCGGCCAGACCCTTAGAGTGTAAAGTTAAAACCAAAACCTTTGGGTGGGAATTCCCCATGAGCTGGAGCTCTGAAACCACCGAGATAAGGAACAAAACAACAGTTCCCAAGTCACTGAGCTTACCGTTAACAATTCTGTGGCCGAGGGTCTGTCTTTTGGGGTTTTGGCTAAACAGGCGTCTACATAGTTGCGGAACTCATCCGACCAGTCCCCACCGGATAGGCTGGGCGAGTCGTTCTGGGCTATGTGGTACAGGGCGCTCATTGCGTTCATGTTGAACAGCGGAGGCTTGCGCTCGGCTACAGAAGACAACAAAATGAGACAAAACCATTAATCGTAATAATGACTGAAACGTCCAGATTTTTCAAGTACAGTAAGTTATCCAACCAAACAGACATGTCAGTACCTTCAAACTCAAAAAAAAATTATCTACATTTTCCCTTATCTAATTATATTCTTAAAATGCCACCAACAAAGGAAAGCAGCCTTACTTCACAAGTTAACAATACTTGTAAGACATGCTTGTCGCTGGTATTGTATGAGAAAGACTATTTTTCATACCATTTTTCAGCACAGAAAAACAAAAAAAACCCACCAAAAAAGCTTGTTCAGAAAAAAATATCAATTGAATGCTCAAATACAAACAAACTGACAACATATTTCTCTATCAACAGCCGGTTACCTATTCCCACCTGGGTGAAGTGAAGAAAATTTATATAAAGTGCCATTCGAAAAGGACAAAAGGTCCAGTTTTCCGAAAATGGGCCAACAATATATCAAATCGGGGCTCAAAGTCATTGCTCAACATCTTGCTTTCACTTTAAAGACTAACGTATCCAAATACTTTTCTTCAACAGTGACAACTCAGTTAAAGTAAAAGTCAAGTTGTTCCCACATCCGATCCAGACATTGGGGAATGCCTTGTAAGTGAGACAACTTCCTGGGCCTTCCGCATATTGTGGTACACTGGCCCAAAAGTGCTTACAAAAAAAATCAGTGATAAATCCGCATCCAGCTCACCCATCTCAATGCAGGTGATCCCCAGGGACCAGACGTCTGCCTTGCCGTCGTACTGTCCCTCGTCCATGGCCAGGATCACCTCGGGGGCCATCCAGTACGGGGTCCCCACAAACGAGTTGGCCGGACAGATCAGGGAGGCAGAGCCAAAGTCAGCTGCACAAGGACAAGACAAAAAGCAACACATTCACATATGCACGTCAAGTAAACCTCCACAACCCCATTAGTCAAATGGCAAACATTTGTCAGAAGCAGAATGAGTGAGATTCTGAGAAAGTTTTAGTTTTAGTAAGAGTTTTACGGCACTTGCAACACAAAAGGTCATATAGGGGCCGAAGATTAGAGGTGCTACAAGAGAGCAACATATACAAAAAAGAAGGAGGGGGGAGATAAAAACGACAGATGTTTGAGAGGAAAGAAGAGGCATCACACCAGAGCACCCGCCAACCACCCACACATACCTAGTTTGACGGTGCCATTTTCTGTGAGCAAAATGTTTCCAGCCTTGACATCCCTGTGGATCTTGCCCTGGCTGTGGAGGTAGGTGAGTCCGTCCAGCGCGTCCTGGCAGATGGCTGAGATCTCCACTTCCTTCAGCGGCTTCTTGTGGACTGCACGGCGAATAAAAATAACAATGATAATAATAATAATAATATAAGAAGAAGAAGAATCGTTTTAGTTTTAGTAAGTGTTTTACGGCACTTGCCAAACAATAAGGTCATATGAGCGCCAGGAGATCAGAGGTGTTACAAGAGAGTAACAAACATAAAACAGAAGGAGGAGAGATCAGGACGATAGTTTTCTATAGGAAAGAAGGAGTAAACCACACCAGAGCACCCGCCAACCACCCACACACACAAAAAAAATTTTTAATAAGAAAATGAGAAGAAGAATAACAATAACAATAATAACCATTTTCTTTTTAATTAAAAAAAAAAATTCTTTATAATTTTCAAAAAAACAAATCAATAAAGCAGATAATTTTTTTGGCGCCTAACTCTACTCCCGCCGCACAATACAGCTCTACAAACCTTTTTTTATCTTCATAAAAACACAAGAAAATGAACATGCAGACATACACACTTCAGGTCAAGGCTCACACATAAGCAGACACTCAGTCTCTCACAGCACAAGTGATAGCCATATGATGCACATCACACACATTATGAACATTACGAACACGTGTACACATATTTACATTATGCAGCGGCATGTAATGGCTACTCGCAAACCAAAAACATATCAGGAAATTTATTTCGTTTTAGTGGTGCACATGCTGCCAGGCCCCACATCTCAACTAAAACACCAGAAAATATAACTGAGAAAAAAAGTTGAAAACCCACATGCAAAAAGACATATCAGACATAATGATGATGATAGTAAATTACATTCACATAACGTTTTTTCACCGAGAAAGAGCTCCATGCATTTTACAATAATAAAATTAACGTAGTAGTTCCAACCATGATCCTTTCAACCCCTCCTTCCCTCTCCTCTCCTTCCCCAGTCCCTCTCTCTACAATTTTTCTAACATTTCATTCATCAAGACAGACAATTACAGAAACAAAAACAGGCCAGTCTCCACATTCTGCCCCACCTGAAAATACACCATTAAACAGCATTGTGTAGAAAACATGTATAAAACTATTTGCTATGAATCTATAGGAGACCAGCCAGGAATAAAAGAAGCATGCTCCCTACAACCAATTTTTGTTTTTCCCCCTATCATCTACATCTCCTTTTCAGGTGCGTTCATGCGTCACATCCTGGTAAGCCCTTCCCTGCCCCCGTTTCATCCACACAGACAGAATGAACAACATCTACATGATACAAAACACACCGGGACGATACAAAACACACTGGGGCTCTCTGGCTTTCATGGACTAGACACCAAACACACAAGCAAAAAACACAACAAGCCTGTGACACAGGCAACGGGGAAAGGCAATAAATAGCATTTGCACAGCATGTATGACCACTCAACTGCAAGCTCCATGCGTTTTACAACCCACACTATAACCCCAGCAGACTCTTAAAGTTTTAGTAAGTGTTATACGGCACTTGCAACACAATAAGGTCATATAAGTGCCGAAGATTTGAGGTGATACAAGAGAGTAACAAACACGAAAAAGGAGGAGGGGAGATAAAGACAATAGATGTTTGATAGGAAAGAAGAAGCAAACCACACCAGAGCACCCACCAACCACCCACTCCAGCAGACTTTAGACTCGGAAACATTCTCAGCTTCCTGGGAAACATACAGTAAAAGCTGCAGATTGCACACACTCAAAACACTAACAAACTAACATTCTCTTTCACTGCCTAAGGCCAGGTACCCATTCCCGCCTGGTGAAGTGTGAAACTTTCGTCTACAGCGTCTTTCCCGAGGCCAAGGACACAGCATCATGCCTCAGATGGGACTCAAACACACAACCTTTCGGTTGCTAACCCACCAGCCTAACCACAAGACCTTAGACCACCCACACCACGACATCAAGCATACAAGCATGAGCCCAAGCCTGCCACACAGACCAAGGGGGCAGGGATATGTGTGTGTATGTGTGTGAGTGTGGGGTGTGTGTGTGTGTGAGTGTGGTGTGTGTGTGTGTGTGTGTGTGTAAGGAAACGCTCATTACAACCAGTTTTTCCCAGTGAGTGAGCACACTGAGGATACAAGTAAGAAAAATATCATCAGAGTTTTAGTAGGGGGTTTACAGCGCTCGCAACTGCATATGGTCCTATGAGCGCCAAGGGGTGGATGTCAACAGAGAAGTCCTTACAGGGAATCAGGCTTACCCTGCTCACCTCTCTAGCCTCAACAGCACAAAGTCTGCATCGACTTTCAAGGCACCCCGGAAAAAGCGGGTCACAAGAGTGTGACAAACATACAAAAGTAGTTAGGAAAGAAAAAGCGAAAAATATCCACATTTTATCTCAAACAAATGTGATTCTTTACACTGACATTATTACAATATTGTTCCCAAAGTCTAAAGTGAAGCAAGTTAAGACACGCTGACAATGATAGAAAAAAAATAGGATGGGAACAAAAACAGTTTGGCTTACCTTCTATGATATCTGAAGCAGATCCCAGGCAGTATTCCATCACCAGCTGCCAAAAAACAACCAACAAAAACCATTTAATGGTGGGTGGGAGCGGAATTTCAACACTGAAAAAGCATTGCAACTTTCATTGACAAATTTTCTTTAACAGTTGACCACAATGAATAAGGCTACTTATCTATGCATAAAATTGTTTTCAATCAAAGAATTATAAAATTTGTAAAACCTAGAAGCCCACGTTATTTAGGATTAAAAGAGAATATTCTTAAATTTAAAAAAAAACAAATTTTTTGGATAAAAGAATACAAGAAATTTCCCACTTACTAAGATATCTATGTGAGTGAACATTCCTGATGCATTATACTGACTGAAAATTCATTTTTCATTTTTGAAGGACAAGATAAATTTCCACAAAACTTTCCCCGTAATAACAGACACAGGGATGTAAACAGGTTTTGAAAACAAAAAAGGCGGAAAATATACGGTGCGCGCACTGACTGAAATAAAGAATACAGTATTACAACAAATAATCTCCATTTAGTATATATAATATGTATTGTTTATAGTAGACTTTTGTTAAAAGCTGGGGCCCAAATGGCAAGTCGGACGGAAAAAACGGAAAAAGCCGGAAGATTTCCATCCCTGACAGACAGCACCAACATGTACACTACCACAGATGTAAATCACTCCAACAAAATGGCTGCAGCATCTCAAAACATTTTCACCTGTACACAGCATTCACTACAAAAGTCATTTTTGTATTTCTTAGAATCTGTGAATATGTCAGACCATTCTACATTTGTGCTCACCAAATGTCAGCAACGTTTTTAGCGCCACAACAAACTTTACTAACTCTGCTCATTTGTTCTGTGTCAATAAAGACCGAATTGGGCAGAAATGAATGCTGCAAGCAATAAACATGCAGTTGGATTATACTATAATAGACTAGATGGATTTGCCAAGGCTAAGGATTATTGTTGCGACTATAACCATCCGAGAGATGTCGTGCACCAGTTACGCCATG